GGATATCAAGGCGATCGTTCTTACAGGATTGTTTAAGAAAAAGTGCTTATAAGTAAAAACTCCAGGGTCTAAGGCCGTGGTCGGCAAACCGCGGCTCGCGAGCCACATGCAGCTCTTTGGCCCCTTGAGTGTGGCTCTTCCACAAAATACCACGTGCGGGCGCGCATGTACAGTGCGATTGAAACTTCGTGGCCCATGCGCAGAAGTCGGTTTTCGGCCTGGGCGAGTCTATTTTGAAGAAGTGCTGTTGATATTTGGCTCTGTTGACTGATGCGTTTGCCAACCACCGGTAAGGTATTGTACTCTGACTGTCCTTAGAAAAAGGTCAGAGGGAAAGAACACAAAAACGAGAGGAGCGATTCCACGCTGATGTGAAGTGTTCTGTGGTATTTTTCTTCAGATCGTTATTCTGCAGGTGTTTCACCCGCCCGTCGCCATCTGTCAGACGTGGTGTTTGATTGCATGCTGCTGCCGTTCCCAGGTTAGCTGCCAGCCTGGCTGACGTCCGTACGTGACACCTGTTCCTCTTGGTCTTCTCGGTTCCTCCAGGTTGTGTCTGGAGGAGTTGCCAGCAACTTCTACATCCGAAAATCCGAAAAGCTCTGGAACTTGTAACAGACGCCACCCAGTGCGCCCTGCTGTGTCCTCCCCCCCGACTGTGCACGGACAACGGCGTGATGATCGCGTGGTAAGCCCTGGGACACGCGTGCCTCCCTCAGCACGAGGTCGATATGGACCGCCTTTCTTTACCTCGGGGCTGCTCACGCTGTGCGATGATCCTGGTCTAGGAACGGGATTGAGAGACTGCGCACCGGCGTGGGCATTTTATACGACACAGAAGGCGTCCGCTACGAACCGAAGTAGGTGGCACCCTTCCTATCTTTACGCAAAGCTGCATTATCAGAGTCAAAGCCGGGATGTTGCTTTTATGTGTGAGGTTTTCATTGATCTTCTGGTTACATTCATTTCTTTCATGAACCTTTCATGAACCTTATAAGAACTATGTTTGCTACAATTTCAAATTACAAAAAATCTGACAGGTCATAGGTTAGAAACAGGTGATGGGTAAGGGGATGGATTCCTTCATTTGGAAACAAAGTGGAAACCAGGTCCCTGGCCTGCCTTTTGCAATGTCACATCCATCTCGGAACCAGCGAGGATGCTGGGAAACGGAGGGAAGTGTGCACCAGGCATCCTGGTGGGGACTGGGCTGTGTGTGTGCTCTTCCCCGTGCAGCTGAGACGCGGCCCAGGCAGCTGCTCTCTGCACGCCTTCCTCTGTCTCCAGGGTCAGAGCTCCAGCGAGGAGTGCGGTTTGTCCGTCTGTCACCAAGTTCTGGGCTCAGTTAATCCTGGACTCATAAATCCGCGAAGGATGGTTATGTTCCCTGACCTAACAGTTCTGTGTCTACATTGTTTCATCTGATGCTTTAAACTTCTCCGTGTTGGAGTCCTTCACTGTCGCTGCATGAACCAGACTCTTAGGGCTGATTATAAATGAGCAGAGTTAGCTGGTGGTGGCAGAACCGCCCCCCGGCCCTGCCCCATGTCTATGGCCCAGCCTCTGGTGGAATCCACCGTCTGCTGCAGTGGTGCCTCCCCTGGCAGTGTGGAGGCTGGGGACGGTGGCTTTCTCCAGGTTGGGTAACAGTGAAATAGCAGAAATCAGAAGCCAGAATCATGAACTAAGGAAGAACAAAGAAAGAGGGTCGGATCTCGGCCTCTCCTGCCAGTAGTGACCGAGGAAGGCAGACAAGGAGCAAGCCAGGTGGTGACGCCTCAGAGAGGAAGCAGTGGGAACCTGGGGGATGGGTAGGGTAGGAAGGGGTGCAGGTTTGCCTTCAGCTACAGGTGAACTATTTCGCCTTCTTAGCTTTATAGAGAATCATAAGACTTTTTTTGTTATTTTCCTACTTCATTTTAAGTTTTTATTTATTTACAGTATTTGAGATGTGTAGAATTATTTCTTTCAAAACATCTCAATCCCCAAAGTCATTGGGTTGTATATATTAAATATGTGTAGCTTTTTAGAAATGTCAAATATACCTCAAAGTGGTTTTAAAAAGTCTCCAAGTTTAGATTTATTAATGGAACTGGCCTTTCTTCACCCATTATTCTGGTTTGAGATCCTATTTGTTTTTATTTAAGAGCTACTACCACCTGGGATTAATTATAAATTAGATATGTATGTTGTTAGAATTCTAAGCACACAGTCTGTAGAACGAGGGACAGAGGAGGAAGCCAATGTTTGCAGTAACGTGATTTGTCTGATTCTGATGCAGATGTCCTCTGGGGGTGGATATATCCAAAGAAGTTGGAGAAGCCGCCATAAAAGTTCCACAATTAAAAATGAAGATCTGAGCCCGGCCGGCGTGGTTCAGTGGTTGGGGTCGACCTAGGAGCCAGGAGGTCCTGGTTCAATTCCCGGTCAGGGCACAGGCCCGGATTGCAGGCTCGATGCTCAGTAGGGGGCGTGCAGGAGGCAACCAATGATTGACGTTTCTCTCTCTCTCTCCCTTCCTCTCTGAAATCAATAAAAATATATTTTTTTTAAAAATGAAGATTTGATTTGTGCTTTTCAAAAATCCCTAAAGGTAATATTTCAACATTTCGGTTTGGATTTTTGAATATCAAATTGTAGGAGATACGTAATATTGCTCATCAAGACTTCTGTTATTCCTTCTCTTGCGTTTGATGTTTAGCACCTGCTCTCTTGAGAGATTAGCAGTGTTATGGTCGTATAAGAGAACATATGTTTTTAAATCAGAAACCACAGGAGAGCACCTGGGGGGGGCAGGATGCGCTGATGCTGCAGGTAGAGAACCGGCCCTGCAGGGAGAAAGGCGGTGGCTCTGCTGAGTTCTGGCCCGTGTGTGCAGGCCTGGGTCTTCCCCCCTTTCTCATGTCAGAGCAGGGGGAGCTTTTTTAGGGGAGCAGGCGGGGGTGGGGAGGAGGAGGGGGGCTTCTGCTGAAACATTAGCCTGACTTTCCCAATGAGAGAAGAGTTTTAGAAAGGGAGCCAGGCCAAAATCGTGTCAATCACAGAATTCTAAAGACAAAAGGTAACTTTGGCGAGCGGAATGTCTGTTAAGTATAAACATACCTGTCATACAGGTATGTTCTCTGGAGCAAACACAATGTGTCTACGTTTCTGAAAACCCATCCGAGATTTTAACAAGTGGCATGCAAGTAATTTCTCGTTGTGCATTGTACTTTTAAAAAAATTCCTCTATTGTTGAAAGTATTACGGTGACCCCTCTTTTTCCCAATTGACCTCCCCTCCCCCCCGCACCGGCCCCTCCCAGGCCTTCACCACCCTATTGCACTGCACTTTTCAGTTGACCACATATATTTATATCCATCATTTGAGGAATTTTATTCAGTTGATGAAAGTGTATGTGACGAAAAGGGTTTGGTTTTGTTTGGGGATGATTTCCTTGAATCTGGAACTTTGTACTGCAGGTGTCCTAACGGCCTGTCCCCTTCCCCCTGCCTGGATTAGAGTGACGTTAACTGTAAGGACATTGCTATCGAGTGTTCGATGTCCTTTGGGAGATCTCACCAGGAGCTTTTATATGATGTCATCCATGCGGGACAAGGTGTTAACTGTCTAGGCCAGTGGTTCTCAACCTTCTGGCCCTTTAAATACAGTTCCTCATGTTGTGACCCAGCCATAAAATTATTTTCGTTGCTACTTCCTAACTGTCATGTTGCTACTGTTATGAAGCGTCATGTAAATATCTGATATGCAGGATGGTCTTAGGCGACCCCTGTGAAAGGGTCGTTCGACCGCCAAAGGGGTCGCGACCCACAGGTTGAGAACCGCTGGTCTAGTCAGTGACTTGCTGTATGGAGAGACTAGGAGGTAAGGATACAAATACAGTGACAAGACTCCTTACTTGGTCCTGCCTTAAAGGCACTTCCTTCAGGGAATTCCATGAGTAACTCTCCCGCCCCCGCCTCCACGTGGTCCTGAGCCACAGGGGAGCCCCCCTCCGTGACACCCCGGAGGAGGCCCTCAGCGTGGCGGTGGTCGAGGCGGCCGCCACATTTCTCAGCCACACGTTTGTACCCGATGGTCGTGAGCTCAGGCTTTTCTTTTTAAATAAATGTTTAAAGGCATACATTTCGGGTGTGAGAAGCCTCATGCGTTTGTGGTATTGATCCTTCGATGCCTCCAGGCATTACCGTGAGCGTGACCCTGTGGGCAGCGTCCCAGTTTAAACGTCTTTACAGCACGTGACACAGGTACCCACGATGCGGCCGGCCAGCGGCTCTGCTCTGGTGTCAGTGCAGGCCTTCCCTTCCGGAAACTTCTACTCATCTGTTGAGACCAGAATCTGACCTGGTTTAACCCGGGAGACAGGCTGAGGGCGATCTGCTAAGGGTCGACATCAAGAACCCCCATTAGAAAAGATGACGCAACTATGTTACGTGCATTTTACCACAATTACAAATAAAACACTTCGCCCTGGCTGGGGTTGCTCAGTGGATAGAGCGTCGGCCTGCGGACTGAAGGGTCCCAACTTTGATTCCGGTCAAGGGCACAGGCCTGGGTTGCGGGCTCCATCCCCAGTGTGGGGCGTGCAGGAGGCAGCCGATTGATAATTCTCATCATGGATGTTTCTCTCCCTTCCTCTCTGAAATCAATAAAAATATAACAACAAAATTAAAATTAAAATGTTTTAAAAAGTTGCTCAGGAATCCGTTCACACTGAAATGCGTTTATTAACCTTCTGCAGGCTCAACGTTATCTTTCTGAACGTGTTTCCCAAGTTCGCTCAGCAATACTATTCTTGGTCTTGACACTTGGATGACATCTGAGGACGTTGCAGATGCAAAGGAAAAAATGTTATGAGACACAGCGGACTTTTTGGAGGTTTTGAAGAGTCCCATGAAGTTAGTTACAGGAGGCAATAAGGTCAAGGAATCTCGGGGTTGAATTTTCGGTCTTAGCTTTCTTCGGTGCTCTCTCCCTAAGAAGTAAGAGCCACAGGTAAAGGTCTGAGCCTCGGGTTATCGCCACAGCCTCCTTCCCTTAGTTCTGCATCGTTCCGCTTCCTTCCCATTCCAAACACACGAAGAGACAGCTCAGCAGCGTCCAGGCTTTCATGTCACCAGGCAAAACCCCGGGGCAGCCACACATATGGTGGCCGACTTTTTACTGTGCCAAGTTGGCACTAACAAAGGACCAAATGTCAACTGTTTTAAATATGCTTTTGTGAAAGAAGGGATAGTGTAACACCAAAAGACAGTGTCAAAGGCGTTCTCTCAAAGGGATGGCCTTCCCCTTGAATGACATTAACTTTGTCCACAAACTCTCTCCATTGTCCACATCTTTTCCTATGTCGCCACACACCTGCAAAGGCGTCATCAGCCTGTGCCTGGCACCCAGGCTGTTTGGAAATCAATACTAAAGTAAAGAAAGAATGCGGCTGACGAAGGAGCTGTGCCCGCACCAGACATCCTTTCACCCCGATAGTCGGAAATACAGCCTCCCCTCCGCCCACCTCTTGCTTCCCGCAGATGGAGTCAATGAGGCTCGTTCTCCTCCTCTTGTTCTCTCTCCTCTTCTCTCCCTTCCCACCTGTGACGGGAGCACAGGGACCTCTGAATGGCCCACCCTTGCTTTCCCCTGTGGGGCAGTGACCACACCGAGCAAGACGGAATCTGGCCCTCCACCAAGCACACTCGAGCAAGCACTAAGCTAAACGTGAAATCAACAAGCCGTTTTTCCTGGCCTCTGTCTACGGGGCCGGCTGGGTAGCATTATCAGATCTGGACTTGGGTCTCCAGGGCATCCCCCCACTGTGTGTGACACTGTACGGAGGATAAGGGAAAGGTGGGCTGTGCCCTAGGAATTCACGAGACAAGGTGTACACGGCACAGAACAATAGCAAGGGCGTGGCTGAGTCATACTTACTAGGTACTAGTACGTGCTGTTTCCGTAACGACCTAGCACTGTGCGTGGCTTGTGAGAAAGGGCGAAGGAGGAGGAGTTCCTGCCGACTGGTGTTGGGAAGGAAGGCCGTAAAGTGTCAGCCCGGCCGGTGTGGCTCAGTGCCTGAGCGCTGACCTATGAGCCAGGGCACATGCCCGGGTTTTGCGCTGGATCCCCAGTGTGGGGTGTGAGGCAGCCAATCAATGCTTCTCTCTCATCATTGATGTTTCTATCTCTCTCTCCCTCTCCCTTTCTCTCTGAAATCAATAAAAACATATTTTTTAAAAAAGAAATGTGTCACATTGGCTTATCCATGGGAAGATATGTTAGGTGTACAGCATTCCAAACAAACGCTTGCAGGTCGCCTTTTCAGTAGCCCCGCCTTTTAGAATTTTTATACATGGAACAAAGGATTACAGAGTGCCAGGGCCAGAAGGCACCCCGGAGAGAAAAGAAAAATCAATTACCTTTTCTGGAGAGAAGATTTATGCATGGCCCTCCGTTTTTCTCCAGACTGAAAGGGAAAACATTTTCGTCAAACTAGAAACATATAGAGAGGCTGCGTAGCACGTTCCACATCTAGTGGTCTAACTTATTCAGGTCGCCGGTAGTGTTTTATATTCATTGACTCACTCAGCACACTGGAAACACTGAATCTGCTTGAAGGGATCGAGGAAAGCTTTGGGGGCACTTGGGCCGGGTTTTGAAGAAAATAGGTCTTCAGGGGGATGCAGTGGGGCGTGCCCCGGGCAGAGGGGAGGGGTGAGGGATCACAGTGCTGAGAACAGCACAGCAGGGCGGCCAGAGGCACTGCATAGTCTGCTGTGCTTAGAAGTAAAGGTATCTGGGACGTGATAGGAGACGAGGTTGGAGAATAAAGATCAGGCCATTCTGTGTATTAAGAATGAGAACATGTAGCCGGGCTGGTCGCTCAGTGGTTGAGCATCGCCCCATGCACCAAAGGGTCGCTGATTTGACTCCCGGTCAGGGCACATGGCCAGGTTTGAGCTCCATCCCCAGCAGGGGGCGCGCAGGAGGCAGCTGATTGATGTTTCTCTCTCATCAATGTTTCCCTGTCTCTTCTACCTCTCCCTTCCTCTCTAACAAATCAATAAAATGTGTTTTAAAAAGAATGATAAAATGTCAACTTTAAAGTAATGGGGTACCAGTGAAGTGTTTTAAGTCAAATAATAACGTGTACCTGAGTTAATGTGTGTGTGGGGGGGGGAGGTGCTGTGGCTTAAAAATAAGTATTATTTTAATCACCATCCTGTACAGATAACCTGTAAATGTGGTATTGCAAAAACATCCTGGTAATAAAATGCAAGTCTTGATTAAAGTTAAGAGATAAAAGTGTCATGAATGCATTCCTGATTACTCTGATGAGGAACATTTGCTGTTTCCTCCTTTAATGAGGCAACTTCATGGCTACTGGGTGGTAATGAAACCAGCTAGTGTTAGTCTCCTCTGTTCTCATGGCGGGTCCGTTAACCATGTCTCCCTCCACACTTCAAAATGGACGCGTCCAAGGGCTCCTCTACTATCCCGTTCTTGGTGTGGATGGGGGCATGGGAACAGAGAAGAGGTAGACACTCAA